CACACACACACATACATACACACACGCACACACACACACACACATACACACACACACACACGCACACACACTTTCACACCGAAGCATAAGCAGAAAACACACACATATGCGGTATGAAACAAACGCAAGCTACTCGGATTTCTATTTTCCACCCGTCTCTCATAAAACAGAAAGGTCCACACACCATGTACACATTCATGTGGCTATTGATTTGAAAAACGATACTTCATGCCACAGAGATTGACGAAGGAGGAAAGGCGAAATGGACTTTTTCCAGTTGGGTTAGCTTCTAGTCTGAGTTACCGGTACGCAATAGGCCTACGTGCATACCAGATCTTGGAAGCGTGGTAAAGTTGCAGGGATGAGTAGAGCGCCCTTGCATTGATATATTTCATTATGCTGGATGATTTATGATCTAGCACTAAGCATTAAGAATTTAGCAACATTACTCTCTCTGGCACGTATCTTTTTGCTGAGAAGAACGATAACTCATACAATGTAACATTTGCAGCGTACTTTTATGATTGTGTCCCTTGGTAAAATGAATAACGCAGTTTTTGTCAGTCAGACCACATTCATTCGGGAAAGCTGTGAAAAACTAAGCCCATGACTGGTGAGCAGTTAAGGCTTGGAAAAAAATTAGTGCGAAGAGTGGGGGTACACAAGACTCCTGGGCCACTATTGTTTAAAAAGGAGGTGGTGGAGGAAGGGGAAAGGCAGCTAACTGTGAAAGACTGAAGAGTTTTACGGGTACAGAGGTTCTCAGTAGTGAATGTATTAATAGTTAGGAACTCACGGTTGTGCTTACTTTTCAAAGCTGTCTTTCACACCCCTCTTTCTCTTCCCGCCAGTCTCACCTTCATATGTTCATCCTCGACGGAGAGCACGCGTGAAACACTGGGCTTTACTCATGTAGGGACGAAGAACACCAATCATTCTCAGTTTCCTTCGGTATTTTTATGAAGGGAATGAATTGTTATCTAACGTTGCATGCCAAAGTTTTTTCTGCCCGTTTTTCTTACAATGAGATAATTCTCAAAGCGTTGTGAGTTGTGGAGAAAATAGAAAACGTCAAACGACTTTAGTTCCATTGCACATGATTTATAGTGAGCAATGAGATTCATCTTTTTGGTGTACTATAGATCAACTGTGTGTCCGGGATTCAGTAAACTGCTACAGTTTATGATTACGTCTCATTATTTCAAGGACGGTTTGACATATGTATTAAAGTCTCGTTGTATCGGAGATGTGATAGCATAGTTGAATAAAACATTCAGGATTAAACATCCACTTTCAGGAAAAGAATACTGTCGTTCAACTGACTTTTGACAACATGACCATTTGGATCAAGTGTTCGTTTCAATGAACAGATGTTTCAGAGAATCAAGAAACGAAAATTAATAAATGTAAAACACAATACTGTCTCATGCAGAAGGATGAAAAATGGTTGGATTCAGGCTGCGCCGATAGTTCTTCGGAATATATAAGGCCATGGAAGTGGAAACTTGGATACGGAAACTAGAGTTACTGGCAAATTACATGTATATATGACAAGAACTTGATAGCGGTAAGAATGCAGACATCAATGGAGTGCCCTTGCACTGACATAATACTAAATGATTCTCAACCCATTATTAACCAGTATGAATTATATATTATAGACTATGATTGATATTGCACATTAACAAAAACAAATCAGAAAAGTATGTGTGTGTGTGTGTATGTGTGTGTGTGTGTGTGTGTGTGTGTGTGTGTGTGT